TTTGTTTATATGTGAATGCTTTTGCTCACAGTTGACGTACACTTCAAAGCTCTACAAAGAGAATGGTAATTGTCACGTACAAACTTGAGTCGAAATATTAGTTTATATTTCAAGGTCGATCGATCAGTATGAATGCAGGTATATAGTTATTTAAGTTTAGAATAAGTCTGGCACAAGGCTATAGTAAAGGAGTCCCTAGCGAATTAGTCTTCGAGACAAGTCTGCTTGCAATTATTACTTTTATGTTATATAGCAAAAGATATTGATTAAACCTGAGAATTACTGTTCCCCTTTAAAAATTTGGGAATTTCATGTTTTTTGTCGGGAGGGGAAGAATAATTATTGTAGATTAGCTTTCCTTCTTCAAGCCTCGACATTTGTCAGAAGCGAAAAAAATATTGATTTTTCTATCATTTCAGAACGGGGATCTTATTCATAATATAAATACGATGTCAAATTGATCCCTGTTTTTACTGAGTTATTTGTACTTTGTTTTTAATTACAAATGTCGATACTTGTAACTCAGTTTACGTCATTGATAACTACGTACAATTACGAATAGGAAAAAATAGGACAACATTATTTGTAGGCAGTTATTAATAACATCTACACAGTTTCAGATACAAGTCCTACTATTTTGCCCATTCCCGGGTGGAGAGAAGAAAAAGATCCATACTTTTCCGAAGAGTATTTACGCGTAATTAAATGCAAAGAACTAGACAGGAATTTGAACTCGGTTCTCCGATTTTCTGAACCGCACATCCTTGAGGCATGAAACTGCCATTCATCAGGCAATATAGATTCTAGCGCTGCACAATCTATATCCATGAACGATCTATTTTCGAATAGACTAGAACCAACTAAAAGATTTCCCACCATGCAATCTCACCCTCACAGACGGGATGTGGCAAGACTCTCGCTGCATTCCTTGGTTCCTCCAGTTTTAACCTTCACGGTTAGGACCCCCCCCCCATGACACACACAATGTAGCAAACCAGCAACATACCCGCTGTATTCCATAGTGTCCAAAACTGTCTTCGCGTCCTTGTGGGTGATGAATTATTTTCCACCATGCAACCTCTCCCTCACAGACGGGATGTGGCAAACCTCTCACTGCTCTGTCGCTACTTCGACGGAGAGGGCACAGGCGAACTGCGTACCTTGGTTCCTCCAGTTCAACCCTTCTCGACCAGGACCCGCCATGAAACTCACATTGTAACAAATCATCATCATTCCGTCCGCGTCCGTATTCCATTGATGAGAAGTAAGTTTCATTGGAGCAGCTTCTTCCCGAGAACCACTTCTCTATGGAACCGACTCCCAAGTGGGTTTTTCCCTGATCTAGTCTAGGGTTCTTTTTTATTCTCAGTTGGCGATGAGGGAAACTGGCTGGTTACATTGAATAACTCAGAAACTAATCTAGTTACATTCTATCATCGCCAATCGGACTTCAAACTATCACCAGCCAAGTTGAATGGATGTCTCCTTTAGGAGGCTACGTGCCTTGAGGAACAATTGTGCCTTAAACTCACCCCAGACCTCAAGTGGCACTCGTACATACGATCCATCGCTAAAGATGCTAGGAAAATGATCGGTTCCCTGTACCGCTCTATTAAGTACCTGACACCCTCCTGCTGTCTTCTACCTTTACAAGAGCCAGATGAGGCCTGAAAATGGTGTACTGCTGCTAATATATGAGCAGGAGCAGCCCAGTCCTTACATTTCACTCTCGACAGAACCCAAAACAGTACCCGCCTCACTGTAGGCGACAAATTATTTTCCACCCTACAAACACTTTCTGACAGACGATGCATTTTTCTATTTCTTTTTCATTAGAAGGCCTCAAGTGGAACTTGTACATACGATCCATCGCTAAAGATGCAGGAAAAATGGTCGGCTCCCTGTACCGCTCTAGCAAGTACCTGGCTGCTCCTCTATGCTTGGGGTCAGGCCTGAAATGGTGTAATATTGTCCTCACTGTACAGTTTCGATAGCGTCCAAAGCCGTCTCCGCGTCCTTGTGGGTGATGAATTATTTTCCAACATGCAATCCCTTCTATCAAAGATGTGATTCTGAGAGCCTATCACTGCTCTATCTCTACTTTCATGAAAAATGTTCGTACGAAATAAATTCCTTGGTTCCGACGGGTCTATCCTTCACGTCCACATTGTATCAAACCAGTCACATTCCCTCTTTAATCCATCGGCGTGTAGTAAGTTCCACTCGAATAGTTTCGTCTCGCTGACCACTGCCGACCGATGCACTGAGGATGCATTCCCGATCACGTCAATCCACATGAACTACCTCTTACTACCTCGAGTGGACCCCTGGCCTATTACTGGGTGAACCTCCCTATATAAAATATTAAATATGAGACCGGGTGCGAAGTAGAATAGATCTTTTATATGGTGGAGTATAGATTGATCAGTTATTGCTCACTATGATGACAATAACTGTGCCGTACTAAAAATAAGTACTACACGTGATATGCCGTAGACATGGGCAGTGGAACGAGAAGAGTCTACTCCAGCAGATTGTTCAAAGGGTTCAGTTCGGATATACACCTGATGAAGGCCGGAAGTCACAACGGCCGTAACGTCACGATAGCAATAACAAAAATGAGGACAATAGTTCAAATGTAAATAGAGTAAATAATAATAATTTCTCATCCCATAAATTGAGACTAAACTTTTTGTTTCTCGCCGTTTGCTATAACTCAGAGTTATATATATATATATATATATATATATATATATATATATATATATATATATATATATATAAAAAAAGTGAACATAGAAGTCAACACTTAGAGGCGACAGTCTGTTTCATGCTATATGCAATCGTCAGGCCACGTGTGCTGTTATTTTTCTCGGCTATTTATACATATACGGGTCAGTGGTGCATTGTGGGTAGTCTGTTATGGCGGTTATTTTACCGGAATTCTTTTATTTATTTATTTGGGTTAAATTATTTTACTTGTTTTTATTTAATTTTATTTTTTGTTTCTTATTTTATTTATTTATTTACTTATTTTTAATCGGTGTTTTTATTAACGTAGTAAAAATTTGTTTATATAACTTATTTAATAGTTTTGTTTTGGTTTGAGAATTTAATTAAAACTATTTGTTCGGTTTTGGGGTTGATTGTTGTAGTTTATTCTAACTATTATTTTGGCAGGAACAGTTTAGGTCAATTTATTTTACTTGTATATTTTCTCTTTTCGGTTTTCGATTTTTAAGTAACGTAGTATTTATTTATTTATTTATTTTATTTTTATTTTATTTTTTGTTTTATTTTATTTTATTTTTTTTTTATCGTTATATAACAGTTATAGCTATTTTTTCCGATTTTTTGGTTTGATTTTTTAGTCTAACTAATATTTTGGTCATAATGGTTTGCTACTTTGTTTATTATTTACTTTATTTATTTGGGTTCGTTGTTATATAACAGGCCACGATTGCATCTAGCATGAAACAGCCTGTCGCCTTTAAGTGTTGACTTCAATGTTCACTTCTATATTTACATCCGCTCTGTATCTGATATTCAGCACTTTATCCCATAAATATAGCATACCTTAAGACTATATTTCTTCATATATATATATATATATAACTCATGAACCAAACCTTTTACTTTCAACCCATTATGAAGGATTGTATGAGGATTTGCCTTGGATTCATTTCAGAAAAGGATAAATTAATTTCTTGCCTTGATGAGAAGAGAGGATTTGCCTTTCATTCGATACAAAAAAGCGGGGAAAATACATTAACAACTTTCAATTCGAACTAAGAATAAAGAAAAGATGCTAGAATAAATATTAACAACTTTTTTAAAAAGTCACTCATTTTCTTTCTTTTTTAATCACGAGAAACGCCAACTTATTGAAAGACATAAGACTCATTATTTAAACATCCACACAAAGATTCATTATTTAAACATCCACACAAATACACATACACATACACATACACACATTTCATTCTTTCGTTTTCGAATCTGACAAAGACTTAAATGGCGCAATGCACTATCAAATCTATTTTTAAACAAATCTATTTTCATGAACGTTTCAAATTGTCAAATTTGTCGGCATCTCTATATCCTAATTTTAACACACACACACACACACACACACACACACACACACACACACACACACACACATATATATATATATATATTAATACATGTCTCATTAAATAATTTAAACAAGTTTTCTTTACTTATTTTTAATAGGATCCTATAGCGATCATCATCATCGCACACACACATATACACCCTTCCAAATTCAAATCTTTAACAGCATTCATTCATTGGACAGAAATCAACGCTGCTATCTGAAGTGACAATTTTAAGATCGCTATGTTTTAATATAGTAAATTTTGTGCACTTTTCGGAGAATTGGCTTCCAGAAGTCTCCCCAAATCTCAGGCACTGATTGGTCATTATCGACCAATCAGATTCTCTGCATGTGGAGAATGATTTTTCCCGCGCAGATTCCTAATTCGATGACTACCTATATAAACAGAACAAAAGAGGACCAACACCAGTGAGACTTCGACTGCTACTGGAATCCACGTCAGTCGAAGACATGCGCCCATCTTCTCACTCACTCTCATATTCTATCACACTTACATAATTTTCCTCTTGCACGGCAGAACTGTCTAAAACATTTATAACAGACTAAAAACTATTTCATTTCCTTTTCAGAGAACATTGATAAACTTTTATAGTCAAAGAGAGACTACTCTCGTCTGACTCATTGCATGCTTCTTTTTCGTGTATATTCTTTATTGTACGCTTTTGTTGAATAAAATTTATATATATATATATATATATATATATATATATATATATATATATATATAAAGAGGTTTTAAACACTAACATTCCATGGTCTGTTGTTTATTCCATTAGAATCGTAAATACGATCCAATTCAAATTTGTATGTCTGATGAATTGGACCGTATTTACGATTCCAATGGAATAAATTATGACCA